AATTGGACTGTTCATAATCTGGATTTGATTACAGTGCAAAAATTGCATGAAATGAATTCTATATGTAAGTACATAATTATTTAAAAGCATTGCATGACCAGTGCTTGATTATAAAATTGTAGGTCCAGGAAGGTACCTTAAATTATTCAATATTATTCAATATTATTTATTATTAATTACTTATTAACTTAATAGAAATAATTATTTTTAATAAAATTTAATAATTATTCCTGAGGTCACGGAATGCCATTCCGGCTCGTTCGCCAGAAACGAAGCCCTGGGCATGACAAAATAATTTTTTATTAAAACTATTTTTGCAGAATAGTTATTTAACAAGTCTTAGTCTTAGTCTTTAAGGACGAGGCCATAAGTTAACTGCGAGTGGAGTGATAACACACTGGGTAGTTAACTTTCAAGGAGACAAAGGCACAAAATGAGACAAGGGGCAAAAGGGACAAATGAAACAATGGACAAAATGGGGCAAATGGGGACAAAATGGGACAAGGTGGACTAAAAGACAAATTGACAAAATGGGACAAAGGAACAAAATGGGACATTGGAAACAAAATAGGAAAGGGAGACAATGGGAACAAATGGATAAGAGGGATAAACAGACAAAGGAGACAAAAGGGACAAGGGAGCAAAGAGGACAAAAAATTCAGAATCAATTTCTTGTAACACTAAGTAGAGATAATGTCAAAACTTCAAATGGCATTACATTCAGTGGTAAATTAAAAATTGTAACTTTAATATTCAGACAAACAATAGTAAAAATAAATTTTGTATACACTTTTCCTAAAAATTCGGTTTTGTGGCAATGACATTTATCCTAAGATTTATAAGTAACAGATAAAATCTAAACCCGAAGTCCACAAAAATATTTTAAATGGAGCATTGAGCATTTAACGGCTATTGCTATGGATGTGCTCTTGATGTGTTGTTTAGTTGGTTGGTTGCTAACACGCTAAGCGAGTTTACCAATTAAAACAAAGACACAAAAAAGCTATAAATAAGATAACTCAATTTTATAATATGTTTACATTTTAAATAAAAACGATTTTGGCCAAAAATTCAAGCCTACATGTAAAGTGGGTCTAGAAGGAATTTTCCAGGAGCCACAAACGGGAACCCAAAATTTCCCCTCATACTTTTCATGGTCAATTAAATTGGATTTTCTGAAAATTACAGAGAACAATGGGCACATGAAACAGCTTACTACTTTATGATTAACATGGTCAATTCTGTACCTATGAGAGTGAATAATAATTAATTTTTGCATTTATATTTCTGTGGAAGATGTTCATCATTCTTTAATCGGTTCATTTCCAAAATCAGATCAATGGATGGACCCTACTGAAGGTTTTTTCCTCTGTCTCTTTTGTTTAGGTAAAGAATAAATGTTTCATCATTCAGAACTTTTGTAATTAGACCCTTCCCTCATCCTAAAAGATAGTTTTTATTTTTCAATGCTTTTCAGATGTTCACCAAATAATTTGAAAACAATTATCCATTAGGCGGATATCACTATTATCATGCAGAATCACTTTGTAGAAAACCCAATGTCCTTTTGTACCCGGACTTGCCAATTAACACATTGCAAACCAAACACGTTTTCATTTTAGTGTATGTCTTTATGAAGAATAGTTGTGCTTTCACAGCAGCATAACATTAATTGTTTGTTCTCTTGATAAAAGCAGTTTGAAAATTAATTATTTGTTTTCTTGATGAAGGAAAAAACATACTTCACCTCTTCAGAGCTTCAAAATTCAAATTGCATATTATAAAGAAAATGGTCTTCTTGTATATCTGCCACTAATGCGCACCAAAGATAAACATAAAAGCAAGTGGACTCATACAACTTAAAAAAAGGAATTTTAAATGGAAATATATTATTTTATTTATTTGAAAACATAAAATAACTTATAAGCAGGGACCAAATTTTCATGGCCAAATATTTTGCAAATGAACTTGTTATGAAATGACATCAAAGTTATGAAAAACAATCCAAAAATATTATGGCAAAAAAGTTTTTTTAAATGACTTTAAAAACAAGAGTATTTAATCTAATCATTCAAACTGGTGATACAAAATGTGACATTCCCATTTCAAAAACTGTTTATGAATTATTAGCCTTCTAGACCCAAAAACTACATAAAAGGTGCATACCTAACTGCTTTTTGAGACTAATGAGTCTAGTATAATTAAAATGCACTTTTGGAAACAAAATGAATAACCATACCACTGTAATTGTGATGCAATTGTAAAACGTTAAAGTTAAAATCATGGGAAGTGTCAAACCAATGGTGAAACATGATAATTTCATTTGGACCCTGCTTTTCAGAAAATGAAAAAAGTTAAAAATTGATATTAGTTTAAGTTTAGGATGAATATTTAATATTTAATTTTAAAAGCAAGATATTTTAACATTACAGTGTTTAAAAAGCCATATTTTTAATACATATTTTATAGCTAAAGTCCGAATGTCTAATTCATGAATTAGCATATTAATTCACTCATTTGTCAGATAGTTTGGATAAAGGTATTTGAATGACAATGAACATATTTTTTCAGATATAATTCAGCTAATGTTGACATGAGTCACAGAGCACTAGCTGAATTAAAGAAAGTTCAAGAGAAATATTTTGTCACAAAAATGCTTTGGAAATTGTGTTTCACACACTCAAGACTGTGTTAGTAAAGTTTGAAAGTTGGAGCCTCGTTAGCCCAACTCAGAAATATGTTGCAAATTGTCAAGTGAAGTACACAGTGAGATTAAGTTCAGTTAAGTGTTTTCATGTAAACCAAAATTTATGACTGACACAGTGGAAATCAAAATTATACATCTTGTCTCTTTTCTAGCTCTAGAAACTTCCCAAAAATTTATAACATAATAGATGCTATTCCTCTTTACCATAACATATGGTTTGAATGCAACCTTGAATTCCCAAATTAGCCAGTCTCGGACATTAGCAATAAAATACTGTATTCAAGTTTCAGCTTCTGATGAAATCATTTGTTTCTAAAATTGTTGTTCCTGAATATGCTTATAAGAATGAATGAGGAAAATTGAAGAAGAAGATTGCTATGAAGAAAAAATACAATACTTTATATGGATAGTATGGTACAGTACTTTATATGGATAAGAATTTTTAAATATGTTTATGAATTCGTCAGAAGCTTTCTAATGATTAAATCTGTTGTTATATTTGTTTTAAATGGTTAATGTTTAGTTATATTTATGTTGTTGTCAGCAGTTTTCCAACACATATCAGGCATGAAATACCTATTACAGCATGAGCCCCAAAACTACACAAAATGAATACATACACCATAAAATTAAAACAGAATAAATTACAGATAACATTATTGATGATTTTCACCTTACATAACCATATACCATGTATGATGGGGAACTTTCTACCATTCTTAAGGGATTTCTTTTGGCAGTTCAGAGAAATGAGTAGTTGAGATTGAACTGGATTGTCCTTGAATTTTGAAAACAGTAGGCTAGTTTACATATATAGGGGGGTCAAATATCATTATTCATTTACATAACACAAAAATATTTAAAAAAACGAAAAAAGTGATCCAATAGAAAAAATTATCAGTCTCATGTTTTCTGAACTAATAAAAGAAATAGTTATTGTGCAAATTCACAGCAAGCAAGACAGATTGGTTTCCCTTGGAACATTATATTTTAATGTTCGCTAGATTCCCGAGGAACATTATTTTTAAATGCAATTTCAGCTTCTTAGTCTGGCATCCAAGAATAAGAACTGGGTTTTGGTTACCAATTGTTAAAAACCAGCAACCACTGCCATAGTCAGGTCCTATCTCCAACAAACAAAGGACTTACAACAATCTAGCTCGTCACTGCCATCATGTGGACAATCCACGCGGCGGTTGCAGCGTTTGCTGCTGGGTATGCATGGTCCGTTCTCACAACGGAACTCGTACACGGAGCAAGAACCCCTGCCAGCAGTTCTCCCTCCAATACAATATTACACAGGTCATAAATATTATACAAGATGATTTCATACAATAACAGCTTCACAAAAGTAGCATTCTTAAAATATTTTGAGAATTGGAGTTCAGTTTCACTGATTCATACGTGCCTAATTAATATACTTATCCATCTTGTATTGCAATTTACAACTCATTTAATGAAATGCAAAGTTATTACTCAATGCCAAACAATACTACTGCAGTAATCACAGACACAACTGCTGACAATATGTCTGAAAGTAAATTACAATATCTCTGAAAGCTATTGACAATATGATTCACCTAAAGCCAAAATTCTGATAATCACAAAAGTTTCAATTGAGTATCTTGAAAAAGAAAGCTTAAATAAATGAAGGTTAAAGGATTATAGAAAAATATTTTCTGAATTTCACTCAGATTTATCTAATTAATCATAAATATTCGCATCAAATAAAAATAATAAATATATGTCTCAATAATAAATATTATATCTTCCTTGAACTCATTTTACTCATGTTAATTTAAATTCATTATTTTAATACATAAATAAAGAACCACTTTACTAACAGAAATGTACATAAGTGTGTGAAATTCATTATATAGTTTAGGCAAGAAATCAACAACAATTTGTTGTTATTGAGGGAAGTAGAGGAGACACATAATATTTTGTTTTCTTTCCAGATTTATAAGATATCAAATTGAATTTTTGTTTCTGATGTAATAGTAAAAACTCTGCGGAAATCAATTATAAAAAAGAAAAGCTTTTAAGATGTTTGAAATAAGGAACAATATTCATTTACAAGAGCATTAGAAGACAATTTACCTTTGTCTTTCTTTCAACTCAACTCAAATAGACTCAATAGAAGACCAAGGGAGAGAGTGAAATGAAATTGAAAAACATTCAATTTTACGCAGCATTATAAAAGTCTAACTTGTACAAAAAATTTAAAAATTAAATAATATATTTCACTCTTTCCAGAATAAGTCAAAAATAATTATAGGAATATAATACATACCACAATTTTCTTCATCAGAATAATCCTGGCAGTCAAAGCGTTTATTACACACAAGAGATGAACTAATACATTCGCCACTGCGGACACATCGGAACTCATTTGATCTGCATGGTGAAGGTGCTGGAGTTGAGGGTTCTGTTTAAAGAGGAAAAATATGCAATTACAATTCTTATAGTTCTAGTTTCATATGTGTTGTTTAAGTATAAATTAAATTGTTTTGTGTTAATGTACGAGTGTATTGACAATGTCCCAGTATTCCCGGATAAATTTCTATAACTTCCTTGCTAAAGTATTTCAGATATGCTTTGCGTTTATGCCTTTTTCACACTTATAAATGCATAAAAAATGTCCCCTTTATACTGTATTACGCTCAAATGTTCCCGCAAGGGCCCTTTAAGGCTCGGGGCGACCTTCGCTAGGTGCCTGGAATTGCATTCAAGGTGGCACGTTCCAGAGCATTCTCGCGACCTCTCAGCCTCTGAAGCAACTTCCTGTTAATGAAATTTGTAATATAGAAGCTCATCTCGGCCTAGCCAAAGGGTCAAGAACGTGTGAGCCTGCGAGGTGGTAGTGCAAAAAATTGGCTCCCAGACCACCTCTTGCAGCAGGGCTTCAAAAAATCTTGGAGTTACTGCAAAAAGGGAACTAGAGACAGGATAAATTTAATTTTTAAGAAACCTATATTTTTTGTCATTTTTTAAAATTTCAATCACACAATGCAATTTAAATATAACATTTTAAATAAAAACATAATATATAAATTTAGAGTTAATTTTAAGACTTCAGAGATAAATTTATAAAGATTTTAAGACAAACACCTAATTACGGAATATGTTTTGTGCACGACTGGACCCTAGAGGCAAATTGTAATGTTAAACACTCCAAGATAACAGACTTTTTTCATTAGAAATTTTTTAAACTGCATATTGAATTCTTCTTTTTTTTTGTAATATCTTTTCTAGTAAAACGGTGGTGTAAAAATATCGAGTTTTTATTTTGCCCACTACATTCAATTTCAGTTATGTGTTTTTCTCATTTATACATTTTGTCCCTTCTGTCCTTTGAAAAACTTATAAGTGAAGTTTTACTGTAATAATATTTACAATACGTAGGGAGACCAAGTCTTTTCATTACATATAAGAATATACTCATAATTAACAATACTAAGGTATCATGACCATGTATGAACGTGGAAAAATATATTGAACATATGTTTATTAAATGAAATAAAAGAATAATTGAGTACGAATAGAATAAAAATGTCGTTAACATGTCACTGAACTCACTTTTATTAGTATAAATTTATTTTTAGTAGTCAATGTGCCAATATATTTTGTATGAAAGAACTGCATGTCCATTTACTCAATAAAAAAATATTAACACAATGATCAAATATTTCTTACCACACTTCTGTTCATCTGATCCATCAGAACAGTTGTAATGAGAATCACAACGTAACGACTGAGGCACGCATGATCCATCATTACACTCAAATTCATCTGGGCGACAGCCTGCAACAATTTTTAATTTATATTATTCAGTATGCATTGTTAAAAATTGCAATTTCCAAGAACACACAATATATCAAGGCCAGGAACATAATACAAGACATTCCAATGAAAGCATCAATAACAAGATATCTAACAAGACAAAATTAGAATGTTGGGCAACCTTTATCAACTTTCCCATAAACAAACTTCTTGCAAACACATACACCTACATCACCTTCATATAAAGAAGAAATTGTTAACTTCTGACCTCCTACAGAAGATAAATAGGATTTGTAGGGTATTACGACTGTCCCAGTTCATTTTAATTACTTGAATCATAGGTGGATTAATAATTGTATTGAAAGGCAAATGAGCAAATAGATAATTTTTTTTTTTAAATGCATTTAACATTGTAAGCAAGATAGAGAAGATGTCAAATAAAATATCCACTCAGCTATCACATTTAATTTGACTTTCATTTTACAGCAGTTCACCCTTACTTTAAAAACTCAAGCAACTGATAAATTTCCAGATCAATTTGTTCCTCACTCATAAGTAGTGAACTTAATGGAAATTTTCAATGCCCTTGTGGTATTACATATGACAAATGTTTCTAGGTCTATAATCACAAATACAATCTTAAATAAAAAATATTTAAAAATGCTACCATGACACAAACAATATAGAATAAAATGCTGAATTAAGGTTTATTTTCAATGATCTGAATGTGAAGCCAAAACAGCAAGTTCAGATCTGACTTTCACTTTACTCTTCACACTAAATCAAAGCTAAGCACACAATTTAAGTATGCCAGTTATCAATGGATAAGCAGAGACTCAGGTAACAGAATAACAATGTGCATTTTTCAAAATTTTCTTTGATAAGAATATTATGGAATTTCTAAATGCCTTAAATATTGTTCTCCAATGAAATGTAAATACTCCAATGTAATCATTAAAATTATTTTGGAATTCAAAAGTGAAAAAAATTAAAATAAAGAAAATTTCTGGAAGTTCATGAAAAAACAAATTTCAGTTTGTCTTAAAAGTAAAATGCACAGTTCATATGACAAAAAACTTGTGACCTTCTTAAAACATGAAGACAACTAAATCAAATATGTCTAGTGGTTCTTGAGTTTAGATCAATGAAAGGAAACCAACACTTTACATTGCAGATGTTTCGGCTTTTTATTAGGCCTTTATCATGTCTATAATATATATAAAATAACATGCAAACACCCACCACCAGGCTCGCAAGCGCCCAGACACACACACACACATACACACACGCTAAACTGTGAGTCTAACATTCTGCACCTGCTGTGCAAACACCGAACCTGCTGTGCTAGTGTGTGTAATGGTTATGATACAATGTTGCCAACAAGTCAAGCTTGAACATTCCAGGTAAGTCACTTAAATATAAACCAAATTTTTATCTATGAATGAAATGGTTACTATAAATATTCCAGTACACATAAAAAATATATTTTGTAGCCCTGATGAAGGTAAAATAAATAGCCAAAATGTCAGCAATGTAGGGTTGGTTGCCTTTCATTGTCTTAAACTCAAGAACCAAAAGACATAATTTCAGTGGACCAAGAATCGTTGAATATAAATCAAACAAAGCTTATTAAAGCAAACAAAATACGTGGAACTGAGATTCTCTGTATAAAATTTGTTACGTGAGAAAAAAAAAATTTTTGCAATTAAATGAGAGCAGCAAATTCACTTCAATTATTAAGGAAAGAAATGTTTCTGAAAGTGATTATGACACCAAATTAAAATTAATAATAGAATATGAACAAAAAAAAAATGTAGAACTCAAAAAATGAATTACAACTTAGCTAATAACTTTATGAAATGATGATGATTTAAAAATAAATTAATTAATTATTGATGTTAGTAGGTAAATAATATTAAAAGTCTCTGATATCAGTCACATTTAGGAGATTATTACCCTCTCCTAGCAAGTATTTATATTGAAATATTTGGTAATAAATAATTTATTTTGTTTCATTAAATTTAAAAACAACTTATAATAACAATATCATACAAACACTAGACAAGAAATGTTTCATGCCATGACGAAACCATGTAATAAACTATATATAAAAGGGACATTAAAGCCATCAGGAGGAGGCTACTATAGTCAAGTACTAATCACACAGAGGGAGGGGGTTTTGAACGTGCACCTGCCTTTTCACAGGGACACATGCATCACTGGACATACACAAAGGTACATTGATAAACATCAAAAGACATAATTTTGAGAAATGAGGAACTAAAATTATTTAAATAATATAATATATATTATATTATAATTATTGTTATATTAGTCAACATTGTAAATCCTCATATGCTTAATTTAGATCTTGGACAGTGAAGAAGATGTGTGTGTGTGAGGATTAAAGGCAATACTCTCTCCATGTATGAAGATTAAAAGAGGAAATACATTGAGAATAAAATAGTAGGCATTGATGAATAAAATTTCATTGGTGTAAATTGCAATTATTATTTATAAAAAACATTAAACACATATTATGAATTGAATTCTACATATTTATTTCAATTACATATTCCTCATTTCTCTTTTTCTCCCCTTTTCATTATTACTATTTATAATAATAATGCTGCCTAAATTTATCACTAACTACAATGCAGGATTAAAGAATGTACTGCAAAATAAAAATTCCATCAAGGGAGAATGATAGTGAAACAGAGATAAGGGCATAGTAAGGGATAAGACACCGTACAAGGGTCTAGTTACTTTCTGACCCAGACAGTCCTGTTCGTCGGAAAAATCTTGGCAGTCATAAAGACGATCACACTGCTGGGTGCTGTCAATGCAACGTCCATCACCACACTCAAATTCACTGGGCAGGCAGTGTGCACCATTGTCTGAATGTGGAACAAACCCCCAGATAGCAGCAAATCAATTAAAAATTTAAATATAAGTACATTTGTCTGTGAAACCACTTCAACATTATTATTTTAGTAACATTATTATTGTTTTGTCAACACTTGTTCTATACAACAAAAAACATGACAGTGTTGACAAAACAAATGTCTAGACCACATCAATTTTCTTCAATCAAAGAAATTCTCAGACTCGTTAATTCCTCGCTTCATACAGCACCAAAAACAAATCATACGTATTATCACATTCCTCACACCCTCAAACACATTTAAGTGGTTAATAACATTATACCCTCCAGAATGCAAATTGATGGAGGGGGATAATAGGGATGCCCTCCCCTACAAAGTTCAGAGTTGCATGACTCCTGCTTTAAATGAATAGCTTACTACATGTATATAGAATATACCCTTCTAAGGATACAATAACCATAACCAGAGGTGGGATTTCTGATATTTAATGCGGGAGCGGAGGCAAATTTGGGGTGTAAGTATATTGTATACAAATTTAGAATTACAGTTTCATAAAAAATAATTTAAATTTTCTTTGTTTAAATAATATTAATTTTAATAAAAATGTATGAAATGTAGTATTCAGTATGCTTGTATTAAACAATTTCCTTTTTAATATTTGTATTGCTCACAATATGTACACTGGTGTTTGTGAAAATTGCAACACCCAGAAGGAATGGTCAAAACTACTTAAAAATTGATGGATGAGTAGAATAATGTAACCATAAGAAGTTATTGAATTTGAATAGAGATGACAGGCATGTTGGCTAACAGCGCCCTCCTTTGTGTGATAGGTCAGGTCTGCATTACGTCCCATTCAGTCGGTGTAGAACCGACAAATATCGTGGAAACGGGCAAGCAAGTGCCGGAATGCCTTGTTGACACCAAAGGGCGCAATATCAGCATCTGAGTGAGTTTGAACGGGGTAGAAAGATCGGTCTCCAAAAACCGGGTTACTCATAACGTGGCATTGAGGCTCGAACAGGACATGCTGCTAAAATAGTGATGCGTATGTGGAACCAGAGGAAGGTTGTACACAGCGATGAGCGGTACTGGACCACACAATGTGACTACAGCACGATGACCGCCGTCTTATCTGCATGACCGTAACAGACGGAATGACGTAGTCCACAGTGTTGGCTCGATTTTGGAGCACTGCAATGGGTGTGGTCATGTCTATGTCAATGGTTCAACGCTGTATGCTGAGGGCTGGACTGGTGGCATGCATACCACTGCATCGGATTCCATTGACCAGAACCAACGCCTCACACAGCAATGAGCATGTGAATGTGTTCACTGGTGTGTTGAGTTTACAAAATGTAGTGTTTTCGGACAAGTCCCGCTTCAATTGCTACAGCGATGGCTGCGTACGTGTTCGACGCTACCGTGGTGATCGCAATATGTCAGCCTGCTTTGTTCCGCACCATAGCGGACAAACACCATGTGTGTTGGTTTGGAGGCCATTGGCTACATTGTACAATTTCACCTCATACGTATTAAGGGCAATCTGAACAGCACCGCAACATCAGAGTGTTTTAGAGGCCGAGGTACTGCCCCTCCTGCAAGCAGCTCCACACGCCATATTTCAGCAGGACAATACCCGACTGCATGTTGCGAGGAAGGTGCAAGCTTTCTGCGAAGGGTACTACTGCTTCCCGGCCTGCACATTTGGGTGACGTGTCACCCATCGAACATGTCTGGGATATAATCGGTCGGCAACATGTTCGTTCTGGTCCTCCTCTGTCAATGCTTTGTGGTCACACACAGAAACCGCGTGGCAGTGTGATCCCCACCAGCACATCCAAGGTCTCTTTGAATCCATGCCACGAGAGGCTCTGATGGCTGCGCGTGGAGGTTTCACGCAGTTCTAAATACTCAAGGTCACAATGCAAGTACAGTTCTGTAATTCCATTTGTATGTATACTGTGATATTCCTAATACACGGAATAAATTTCATTGAATTAGTATGTCTCCTTGGTGTTGCAATTGTCACAAACACTGCATTACCTATAAATATAATATTATATTGTAGCTGCATGCATTTTGTTTCATATTTTGAAATTTGAGTAATGTGTATCATAGATATAATAAATGAGA